TGTATTGTTGTTTATATATTAAAACATATTTCTACTAAAAAAGAAAACTGTGTGTATCAATCATGTTGGCAAATATCGTAAATTGGAGATATATTGGCATATATTTAACTACTAAATTTAAATTATAATGTAGTTCGGTTTCAGACCATTCGAAATTGTAACACGTGACGTCACATTAAGGCTGAGCTCGACTCATCAATTAGGGTGCTATGCTGATGATCTGAATTTCCGTGGTTCGCATTCCGTTACCGCGCAGAAAAATCGCATTCCGCACTTTGGTGCCGTGGGTGCGTTATAAGCGTGACAGTCAAATTCTACAGTGGATGACATTGACTAATTGTCTTGTCTCTAGTCTCTTACTTCAAAATTAGGAGCGGCTAGTGCATATAGCCCTCGAGTATCTTTATTCAACAAACAACAACGGTGTCACAATGCCAACGGTCAGGCATCAAACAGGTATTTTCTGCCAACTATACGAGTCGTGTGTTCTACGATTAACCTTAATATGTTTCGAATAATCATATTATAATGAAAATTACAGAGTAATGAATGATCAATTGGCGATGAAATAAGTAGCTCAAAGGGCAGAATTGAACCAGAAACTCCGTTAATATAAAGTGATATTAACTTTCAGTGTTATTGCCTCCAAATTAACTATGTTTACCTTGATTTTCAATGACTGTCAGTTCCATCCGTATTACAAAATCGTTTTGACTTAGTTGTATTCAATGTATTCTTTGTTTTTTTCATTCTTTATACTTTAATCTCCCTAAGAATCATATGAACATATTTTTCAAAGCACGTTTCCTTTAGTTTATGTCAAAAACACCATACTTAGCGGAATGATTTCGTTACTTCTTTGCTTTTCTGTTTCCTGTACATATGTATATCATCTCGCTGTTCTTAATAATCCAGAGAGTTTCATTTACATAATATTTTGTTTATTCATTAGGTAACTGTAGTAGCATTCTTGAGTTAATATTACGAAGATAAACTCTCTTGTTATAAGGAAAAGATACAAAATCATTGAAGAAACATCTAAAAAATTTGGAAAAGTTTTAGAAAGTAATTGCAAAATACACCAACAGAACAAAACAGGGATACAACAAAATACACCAACAGAACAAAACAGGGATACAACAAAATACACCAACAGAACAAAACAGGGATACAACAAAATACACCAACAGAACAAAACAGGGATACAACAAAATACATCAACAGAACGAAACAGGGATACAACAAAATACACCAACAGAACAAAACAGGGATACAACAAAATACACCAACAGAACAAAACAGGGATACAACAACAGAACGAAACAGGGATACAACAGAATACACCAACAGAAAAAACAGGGATACAACAAAATACACCAACAGAACGAAACAGGGATACAACAAAATACACCAACAGAACAAAACAGGGATACAACAAAATTAGTAATACAAATTATAAATTGTTTGCATTCGGTTATCTCACAATTTTGAATGCTATCTTTGTCATTCCATTAGACAACAGTGAAAAATAGTGCCTACATAAAAATGCATAGTTAACGTCATCAAAACATTTTATTCCAATAGAAATATGGGTTAATCATAAAGTTATTGTTCCCATCTATATAGTCAAGGTATGCTTTATATTTGAAGGTGCAAGATTTGTGTGCAATCTCTTCTTTTTTTATTGTTACATGCAAATGTTCAATTTAAGATTCTAAGATAACAAAATAAAAACATTTCACCAATAAGTGACATAAAAACTCTATACGCTCAATTTTTATATTATAAAACTACGTATTACATGATTTCTTTTCCTGAACCTTCAACATGACGTCATGAGCTATAAAAAAACCTTTGTGCTACCATACACCATAAAAACTTCAAAACTGACCGTGTAAATGGAGTTTACAGAAGGTTAGTACAGAATATATCGTTTTGTGTGCTTCATTTAGCTACTCGTTGAACATAAATCCACAATCTCAAGGGTCAGACAATGTTAAGCATCGATCCCAACAGAAATTATGACCAACTCAGTCTTCTTTCCTATCTTTTTTTATGAGAAAGCTAGCGGCTATTCTGGCAGTTGTGGTGATTGGGGGAGGGGGTCAAACATAGCTAAAGAACGTCGTAAAGATCAGTGTCTGAAGTAAAGCAGTTGGTCGTGATCACAGCTCTATTACAATCTTTTTTTTAACGTCAAAAAATTACATTTTAACACCACATAAATTACACCAATTGCCTTTGAAAATCTCTTTTTGGATTATAATTTTATGTTTTTGACAAATAGTCTGATGAATAACATCCATAGTTACGTTTCATAGTTTCAATAAAAATTTACCTTGAGTGCACTATGTCGTCTGAAACAGTCTTCCATCTTTCCAAAACATTTGTTTTATTCAAATAGGATATTAATACAAAGACTAAGCTCAACAGAATTAAATTAGCTTTATCTCAAACTATATATATATATATATATATATATTGCAACAATATAGTTACAATAGTTTTTTATAGTTACAACAAGAAACTAGTGAAGTCACATTGTTTTCGATGTGTTAACGAATTTCTAAGAAGTATGAGAACCTCGTGCTATTTTTCAACAGAAAGTTAGAGACTATTAAAATTTGTTGTCTTTTCTAACATCCTTCTGAACAATTAGTTTAACTAAAAATTAAATTTAGAGATATCAACACCATTGTCTTGATTATTTTATTTCAACTACTCAGAAAATTCCAAAACTATTTCATTGTAATTCTATTCAGTCCATGTACTTTCGGGCAGCAAGAACATTTCATCTTTAGTAATGGCTCTGTACTTGACAGATGGTTTGTCATTCTCAGTCAACAAAGAAGCAATTTCTGGTTCAAAGTACTATGAGTAACTGCTTCTAACAGTGATCAATAAATTAACGAAGTTTGAAGGAAGATAGAGTGCTGTTTTCTACAATCAAAGAAAAAGAAGACAGCACTTTCTTATAGAATGAATAAAGTAAAGCGATTCATATATCTTGAACAAGTTCGTAGCTGTGGGCATGTCAGCATTAATTCAATAACTTGATTTCATTTCGAACACACTTTGTCCAGATCCTTATATTCTAATTATATTTATTATCTCACATCAAGTTTTTAGAAAAACGGTCACTTGAATAATTAACAGAAAAAAACCACATATATTTAAGATATTAATTCCATAAATGCTCAAATACATTTTATTAAAGAACATGAATCTAAATGAATATAAAAATAACTAATTTAGAAATGTTTTAGTTATTTCAAATTATATATTTTATACACTGTGAAAAACAAAATTTCAAATATCAAAACCTGTCGGACGCTACAAATACCTTAATCTTTAGTATAACTTACTCTGTTGAATCCCAGGTTCTCGACAACGCATGGAATATCTACATCTCGTCCGGCAGGTATGGTAACATTCGGAACAGGTTCGGAAAAACTCGGAAGCACTTCGTCACACCTTACTAAGAAAAACATCACGATATTATAATCGTTTAGTATTTAAACGAGTAATATTTTTTGTTTGTTTTATGTAACGCACAGTTAAAAGACTAGTGCCATATATTCGACTGTTCGCCATCACAAAACGTTACTCAGTAATAGGTGATATTTCATTATACTTATACTATGTAGAAATAGATTATTAAGTATAATTTAAATATAGTTTTTATTTTCTTTATTTTTTCGTGTTGTTCTATTAAAACTATAATGCAAACGAATGCTCGTGTTCAAAGGAGATACCTTTTATTATTCTAGGCTCAGAATAACCAAGGTTCTTCCTTCTGGCTACCGGTTAACACGATGACTAGAAATTAAGGTTTTGATCTGCTTGAAAGGGTATATATTTATAAAAATCAGTTGCATAATAACGATATAATACCACATACAACTTGTTCAGAACTCTTTATGTACGTATGAATTTATGATAAATAAAATAAAATAACTATATCTTATAATGGTCATTGTAATATAAGATCACATCATGACAGTGACAGTACTTTGACAGTACGTTGCGCTTTGTGGAGGAAGAACAAAACTATTATCATACTATAAAAAGTTTCCTGTTATTAGACTGCACTAAGTTGGCAATACATCCTTCAAGATACAATAAATACAGTTTTCTTTTGTTCCGCTCTTTGATGGCAATAATGAATTTAAAAATTTCCTCAAGAGCATAAAATATTTCGAAATACAGTTAGTGAACATAAAACAACAACTTAATGCACGGAAAATTCTAGAATTCCTTGATTCAGATTTCATATAAACACATACCTCTTTTGTAGCTATCTAGCTATCTACCTCCGTCATCTTGCAGTGTTACAGATCATATCATGAAGCATGTATCTATTTAACTCCTCTTAGTGTTAGGACCTCCTTCACATTGCAGTGCTACAGATTGTATCATGAAACATATATCTTTATCACAGCACTTATGGTGAATGTCGTTAGATAATCATTCAAGTTGAACCCATGTGTGTTACATTTAGATTCCAAAATTCCATTTACCACCGGTAAAGACCCCAGTAGCTCAGCGGTGAGCCTGGAGGCTTATTCACTAAACAATTGGTTCAATACTCTTGATGGACGCTCATTGTTTAGCTTTATACTTGAAAAAGTTCCTGTAAAATTCTTGGCTAAAACTAACTGGTTTTATAATAAAATGCTTGTTTAATTTCCAGTGATTCTTGTAGCAAAATCAAATTATTCTGTTCAAATGAGTTTCAGTTCATCAAAGGATTATCCTCTTTGTTATCTCAAATGAAGCTCACTTAAAAATAAATTACATTATATTTATTATACCTTGGTTTAAACGTTGCACTGAGTTAAAATGAAGTATTCACAAAATTGTGCGACACAGCCAAAGAAGAGAATCTTCTACAACTTCAGAGAATAGAGTTTCGCAATACATATTGAACTGTATGTACACTTGTAAATATAAATTTAATTTAAACTAACATCGATATTAAAATAAATATATAATAATAAATCCATCACACACGTTACACAAAAAGCCACTTGCATATTTAACAAATAGCATTTTATAACATCAGAAAAAAATTAAATTGCAATATGTATGCCCTGTATTCATTTTCAGACTAAAACAAATTTGCCATTTAAAAACTACATGGATTATAAACATCTCTTACTCTGTAAATATTTTAAAACAATAAAACCACAACGTACGATTACAAATACTGATTCTTTTTTTCACATTATATGTTTAAAAATATATATCATTTTCAAGATGTTTACATCCTAGCAATTCGAAACACTAGATTTATTCAGATATGATTTACACAGATATGATTATATTTGAAAAAATTAACGTTTTCTACTATTAACACTCATTTAGAAAAGTAATAAAAAGAAATATTTATTTACATATAGTAATAAATATATGCAGTACAACCTACAGCATCTTCTTTTCGATTTAGCTACAATTTAAATATCGTCTACCATATGCCAATTAAGAAGATCAGGGTTTACTCAGTTGAAAATAAGACATATTTAATTATCTAAACCCATTACATCATGGATAGGTAGCAGTGGGATTCTATCCAATACACCAAGGATAGGTAGCCGTATAACTCAACCCGATACATCATGAGTAGGTAGCCGTATGACTCTACCCAATATATCATGGATAGGTTGCCGTATAACTGTACTCAATACATCATGGGTAGGTAGCAGTATAACTCTACTCAATACATCATGGATAGGTTGCCGTATGACTCTACCCAATACATCATGGATAGGTTGCCGTATAACTCAACCCGATACATCATGAGTAGGTAGCCGTATGACTCTACCCAATACATCATGGATAGGTTGCCGTATAACTGTACTCAATACATCATGGGTAGGTAGCAGTATAACTCTACTCAATACATCATGGATAGGTTGCCGTATGACTCTACCCAATACATCATGGATAGGTTGCCGTATGACTCTACCCAATACATCATGGGTAGTAGCAGTATAACTCTACTCAGTACATCATGGGTAGTAGCCGTATGACTCTACTCAATATATCATGGATAGGTAGTCGTATGACTCTGCTTTCATCTAATTACTGTAAAACAAAAACAAAAATCTTTACTCTCCAAATTCTTTCTTACCACAATCAGTTGTATGACATCTATTTCTCACAACCTCGCAGTATCAATTCATTAATTTCCTGCTCTTCCAATTTGTGAACATTATTCCAATTGCTGTTTAAGCGAGATCACCAGAAATGTTTAACTCAGTAAACTCGGTTGTATCATTACTTGATACATATATATAGGATGAGCATAACGATAACTGAAAAGCACTCATCAGATTCAGCTTATCAAACTTGTGTTCTGCTCAGTTTTATACTCAACGCGAACTACAAAGACTGATACATTCTTTTTAATTCGTCGATCAAATAACTTTAGACAAAATTTTGTATAATTTTTGAACATTGCAATATGTTTGTATTATTACACAAACTATTAAAACTGCAGATAAATCAGTAAACCACACAGAACGAATAACAATTTTATAGATCCACTGAGTTATTTCGATCGAAAATGTTTACCACATCAGAGGCTTTACATTTGTTTTATTTTGAAAAACATTTTTAAGTACAGTATATCCAGTTTCTTGCTAGATCACTTAATAAAAGTTTTAAAATATTTTTTTCAGTTGCGTACTCGTCTTAACATATATAAGTTGATTTACACTTAAGTTCGTATAACAAATGTTTGGATACTGACTCATGCTCTTGTTTTTGAACTGGATTTCTTCCTCATTGTTACAAGGTAAGGTACTCAGCTCAATCCATCTCTATATTTTTCAGCAGGACATTTGAGAGTGTAGAAAGAGAATGCTTTATATAATGAAGCTATCGTTTTATCTAATTTATGAATCTTCTTGTGTTCAGCGGTACCTCGTCTCGAACCTTTCACCCTTCAATCGGCAGATAACGTGCTAACCATTAAGCCACACCCGACTCTCTTCGTAAGAGAAGATATACTATAAAAATAAGAAAGTAAGTTCACTAAATGTCTAACAAACGTTATGAATGTTTTTAACTTCTGTGTTCATATGCTGATCAATTTAAGTAATCCTAGTTATTGTTAAGAAGTACGTAACTTGCATATGTGCAGCTTTCAATAATAAAAATATACATTGTAATCAAAGCAGTCTTTTAAGAAATTGTAATATGCTTCAGGAAAGGCCCGGCATGGCCAGGTGGTTAGGGCGCTCGACTCGCAATCAGAGGGTCGCGGGTTCGAATCCCAGTCACACCAAACATCCTCGCCCTTTCAGGTGTGGGGGCGTTATAATGTGACGGTCAATCCCACTATTCGTTGGTAAAAGAGTAGCCCAAGAGTTGGCGGTGGGTGGTGATGACTAGCTGCCTTCCC